TTATGTAAATGTAAATATATGCACTTATATAGATATATATTTGCGGGCTGGGATTAAAACATGATGTTGTTTATGTCCTTTATTGCCAAATTCTAAATAGCCTCTAAGAAGACGTAAATGAACTAAACAGCATCATGTTTTACTCTATTATGTTCTATTTTGATTTTGTGGACTTAAAAGTTCAATAAGAATTATAATATTTACACAGTTCACACATGAATAATCAAACAAATGTATCTATGCAAAAACAAATACTCGCAGCTATGCTGAGGGCTATTTCACATTGTTTGGCTAATTACTGGACGTGCAAATTTTATATATGTTATATATGTATATATATGTGTGTGTGTGTGTGTGTGTGTGTGTGTGTGTGTGCGTGTGTGTTTGCATCAGGCAAATAAATTTGCGGTGATTTGTAGAGTTACGATATCAAAGCGCATTAAACTTGCTGCAACCCACATAAATATAACTAGAAAGCATTTAACTACTCAGCGATTACACACAGCCAACACACAGCCACACACACACACACACACACACATACATAGGTGTGTGCGCACTAATACTTCATGTGCACAAACAAAGGACATGTACGTACATCTACACATGTGTGTATTTAATGTATGTCCCCGCCAATATGCGAATGTTTTGCCCAAAGTTAAGGTAAGTTAGCTAGAGATGGGCGCGTGACACGAGCACGAACGCGAACATGCTCGTCAGTGTTGGTAAATACGCGAACAAGCCAAAAAACATGCTAACATTAATCAAATATCCCTATGTGATTGTTTGAGAGGACGTTTAAAAAATATAATATATTTTAAATATATAATAAATATATTTCGTAATTTCTCTGAACTTATATTTCAATAAATAAATGTAATTTCGAAATGGCGCTCATCTTTAGCTGCCGAATCGCAGCTCATAAAAAGAAAACTTCATTTACTCGCAAAGAAATAAATCTTTTAATGCACATCGGAGAGTCGTTATTCGGGCATTGTTTTCTCATTTGCCACAACACCTCCCAACTCACACACGCACACACACGGACAGAATTGGGGGGCATATGTCGTGCCGTGCGGCCATCGATGGACCCCCAGGCGAAAGGACATTTTTGGTCCAGTGCCGGCTCGCTGAGCAAATGAACCTTGAATGGTTCCATGTATTTCAATGATTCTAATTATGGAGCCGCCCCCCTGACCGCCCCCCTATCCCCTTAACCCCGCCAAAGCGCCCGCATTCGCCGGCTTGCCACAAAAGTTTCTTAAGTATCGCGTGCATCATTGTTATTGTTTTTCCTTTGGACGAGCAACCAAATTGCTTTGTTGTATGCTACGCCATCATTGGCATTTACCATGCCCCCATGTCCTTCCCATACACATCCTGCGACCATTTCAGTGCGTGGGCGGTACGCTCATTAGGTTTCCTCAGCCGGCGCTACGATTCATGGCCCATGCAAAATGTCCCTCAAGGGCAGGCAGTTGTCGCGTTCCTCCTGTTCAGCTTTATGTTATGTGTTTATGTGCCCATTTCTATATGCGTGTCTGTGTGTGTCCGTGTGTGTGTGCCTGTGTGTATGTGTGTGTGTGTGTGTGTGTGCCTGTGTGTATGTGTGTGTCCGCCGGTGACCTGCGAAAATGTCTGTGTCAAGTTGTGAGTAATAATGCGGAAACGCCAAAGAATGGCACAACCAAATAAGCTCGTAAATAGCCAAGCAAAGGCAGCATTTTCCTCTATACCGAATAGGGGAATACTCTAAAATGCAAATTTAATAAAAAATAATAAATCTTGTATAAATACCCCCATATCAGTCGTTGATGATGTGCTTGGATCTACCATTTGCCAATTCCAAGTTGAAACACAAGATCCAAGTTCCACATCAAAAAACTATATAAATTGAAAGCTTTTGTCAGCTTAAAACATCTTATCTTAATCTAAGACAGTTAGATTCATAATCGAATTCCATTATCCGATAGAAACACATGGCCAAAATAAAGTACACCCAGCAATAATCGCTGCTAGACTTCAGTTGTTGACTAGAAACTAGCTTAGCACATGGTCAAAGCCGAAACAACTAACTTGATATTTCAAATATGTAAGAAATATTATTTACCATGGGATTTACCAGCTAGTTTCTTTTTTCTTTTTTTTTTAAAGATAACAGCTAATGAACGCTCACTTTAATAATAATGAGCTTAAAATATAATTTACCATGAACTTTACCACCTCTTTTCTTTTTATATATATATGTTTCTTTTTTAAAGTTAACAACTGATAAAAGCCCATTTTATTTCTACTTAAAGGCTTAAAATATAATTTACCGTGAACTTTACAAGCCAGTTATTTTTCCTTAAAAAGTTAACAACTGATGAAAGCTCACTTTAATACTACTATAATACATATACATTTAAAATGAGCCGAAAATATAATTTACCATGAACTTTACCAGCGTGTTTATTTATATTTTCTATTTTTCTTAAAAAAGTTAACAACTGATAAAAGCTCATTTATTTTCTTTTTCTTTAAAAATGCTAACAATTTACCATGAACTTTGCCAGTTAGTTTTATATGTATTTTACTTTGTTTCCCCTTTAAACTCATAGAATCTCACTTTATTGTGATGCAATACATTGCATATACATTAACAATGAGTTAAAAATATCGTTTACCATGAACTTTGCCATCTAGTTTGACTTGTTTCTTTTATTTCCCTTTAAAATTAGCAACTCGTGAAAGCTCACTTTAATGTGTTGCTGGAATTCATATACTTATGCATATTCGTTTATTTTTCTGGGCCACGTATTTAGGAGCTGACATGTGTCACAAAGTGGATGACATATGCGATAACATCGTTTAATTCGCACTGACAAATGTGGTGCCAAACAAAGGCACATTAATTAGCCGTACGTGTCCATGCATTACAGAAGTATTTGTTGTCCTTTTTGTTTGGTGTTGGGTGCTGCGGGTTTGTCAAGCCGACTCGAATCCTGGCATGGCCATAATGGCTCCTGTGATGCCTCAGATGGATGTGACCATGGGCCACGTACATAAGCACATAATTACGAATCTTTCTTGTTCGCTTCGCTTCTCTTCTCTTGTTTTTTTTTTTTTTTTATTTTTGTTTCTGCGTTTTGTTTCGCAAGAGCAGCGGGAAAGTTAAATTGCAGAAATCGCAAACTTTAGTATCTCAAGCAAAAGTAATGGAATTGTGTAATTAACGAGACTCTGGGGTAAAGACTTGATGAAATGCCGCAGCTCTGGCCTTCGCCAAGAGTTATTTGCCTGACTTGTATGTATGTATGTATGTTTGTATGTGTCTGCCTCCTCAGAAGTTGTCGCCTTCGAAAGCGTTTGCTTAACCTTAGGCAAACACAAACACCCCAAATTACATGGTAAGTACTTTGACCAACAATAACAAGCGGGGCGGCCGCATCGTAAAGGCAGCCCACTTCAAAGGCGGCCATGCCCAGTTTTTGAGGACTTTGTTGAATTGGGATTTTCACTCTATTTTTACTCTATATTTTCGGGATCTCCCGACAAGAGGATACCCTGAACCCTCTGCATCCGACAGTCGATAAGTATAAAATGAAAGATACTTGATATATATATACTATTCTAGAAGCTACATGTCAAGTTTGGTGATTTTAGCTCTTATTATTTACCAAAATTGCTCAATAACAGGATTTCGATATCGATTTTTATCGATTACTTCGAAACGGGACAAGTTATCAAATATCGGAAACAAAATCGATCTGCGCCGGCACTAGGAGGACCTACAGCTAATTTCAAGTCTCTAGCTCTTAAAGGTGCGAAGTGCCTTGCATTCATACATACGGACAGACGGACGGACAGACGGACAGACATGGCTAGATCGACTCTGCTGTTGATGCTGATCAAGAATATATACACTTTATGGGGTCGGAGATGCTTCCTTCTTCCTGTTACATACATACATTTGCACAAATACATAATACCCTTATTAACCATTTTCAATGGGTTCAGGGTTTAAATATACTCCGAAAATTAAATAAATATTGCTTTCGAAAAAACAAGCAAGAGTTCTCGAGAGACTTAAAGCCTTAAAAGTATTTATTCTAAATACCATATGCAGAACGAGTTTGTCTGTTTCCCATTTGATAAATCCTTCCAATTTCATGATATCAATAAAAATCTATTTTAAGCTTTATCTTAAATTATACCTTCTCCATTCGGTTCAAATCCGAGAAAAAAAACTCATTTCGCATCTATATACCATATTTAAGCGCTTGGAATTTCAAAAAGATCGGACTATAAGCACCGAAGTTAGTTAAGAATGTTTTTCCCATACAGCGAGGGAATGGTGGAGCAAGTGGGGAGGGGGGCAAAGGTTGTGTATGTATAAATTTATGGTTGAATGTATGTATGTATGTATGTATGCATGCATGCATGTATGTAAAGAAGATAGCTTGATAGAATGTTTGTATGAACAGCTTGGCTTAGGGTATCTGCTAGTCGGGAACTCCCAAATAGAACCCTCTTCCTTTTTATTTTTTCATTTTTCAAGCAAATTTTAAACTATTTGTAAGTCCATGTCACACCTTAAGCCCAGTTAAAAGTATATTTGATATTTATAAATATTATATTTATCCAATTTTTGGTATACGTTTTTATTTATTTGATGATGCGCAGTTCTTGTTAGAATTATCAACAGAAATGATTTATAAATACAAAATTAATTAAGAAGTAAAAAAAAAAAATAATAAGCTTTTGAATTACAAGCTGTAATCTCAATAATCTTAAGTATTATTTAAATATTTAAAATATATAAAATGAAATGAATTTTAAAAAATATTATATTGTGCTCTATACATATACGTTCTCTTCTGCGCACAATATTAAACTAAGGTGCACCCGAAATGCTTATTGCAAAAAAAAAAAACTTTCTTAATATAAAGTGAAGAGAAAATAATGTAAAACGCATTGAACAAAAGTCGGATATAGAAAAGCATAAGCATCAAGTTGAACTAAAACATTTGCTTATAGTTGGTTGAATTGTCAGCTCGTGGCAGGCTTTTCAATTTCTTTTTATTCTGTTTATACGACACGGGCTGGGCAACAAGGGCCGCGGCCCCATTTCGATCCGTACGGCTGCCGCCCAGGTCGTAGGGGGTACGCACAATTTCGGGCAGGTGGGCATAGTAGACGACTCTCTCGTGGCGGGGCGACATCAGCTGTTGCGGCAGCTTGGCCGAGGCGTATTTGTTGCTGTAGGAGTCGAGAACGGGCGGCATTGGCAGCGTATCGTCGAGGTAGCCGCGTCGGGATTTCATGTAGTCCCTTGGTGGCGGCGTGTCCAGCTGGCGATCCGGGTACATGAGATAGGGTTCAGGATATTGCGGCACACGGGGACTGTAGCTGTCGTAGGGATCATAGCGCTGCCGATGCACGTACATGTCCTCAAAGTATTGCGGATAGGCGCGATAATACTGCTCATCAAATCTGCAGGATGTGCAAAATCAGCCATAGGACATATTATAGCCCATTGTCTGGGCTGTAACTCACCTGTCATAGCGCCTAATATAGGGATCATACGACCTGGATGGGTACATGGCAAGGGACTTGCCTGAGTATTGGCCATACCAGGGCAACGGCTTGGCGGCCAGTTCATCGGCCGGTCGACGAAAATGTGCCAAATTCTGTTCTCCGCCAGGTACACGAATCGCTGATGAGGCGCTCAAGTCGTTGTCAGCCGGAGAATTGTCATTTATGCGCCTACCAGGCGTATAATAATCGTAGTCACTGTATCTGGCCGAAGGTTTGCCCGCTCTCAGCTGCTTGCCGGCTGCTCCGTGCTCCAGTGAATCCGTTGCCTCCACATCAATAATGCCGTCCACGTTGTCAAGCTCTCCATTCCGATTGGCAGGATCGTAGCCAGGCTCCGCGTAAGCACCAGCTATTACCAGCAATGCCAAAATCCTTAGTTCCATTTCGTGCTGCACTCCGAACCGAATCCAACTGAATGCGCGGGTTGGCCAAACTGGACTGATCCCAATGAGGCTACAGTTTAATAGATGAAGCCACGCAAATGGTAACAATGATCCGGCGACATGGTAAGTTAAACTTCAATGGGCAATTGTTTTTTTTAGAGCCGTTTGAATGTTTTTTCGTAATTCGCCCTTTTTTTTTTTTTCTATTTTCTTTTTTGGTTCTATGGGGCCATTCTATTGGAACTGTGAAGCGCAAGAGTGCACAATTCAATTCAAGCAGCAAACTTCGGATTTAAATACCCTCGAAAAACCTGCGCGATGAATAAGGTAATGTTGTTAGGTGAGTCAATTTATCCCCTTGTTTACTAAATGGCAACGCCGCCTTCATAAGCCTAAGACCTGACAGCTTGTAAGGTGGCAACACTGCAATTTTATCTCCCTGTTAAATTCTTAGCAAATATTTGCAATGATGAAACCTGTTCGATGAATAAGGTATTGTTGTCAGGTAGGTGAATTTGATTTCTTATTTTGTATTCCCTGGTCAACTAAATGGCAACGCCGCCTTCAAGCTGACCTCTTGTAAGGTGGCAACACTGCAATTTTATCTCCATGTTAAATTCGTAGCAAATACTTGCAATGATGATAGAGCAGAGCACTATTCAGTTTTAGTAGATGTTCAAATGATTGGGCATGAAAGCATAAAATGTTAATTCCCAAAACTAATCAATCAACATCAAGCAATCAATAGATGAGAGAACCTAAAACATTTCCTTTATACTATACAGAGCATGAGCTAGTCGAAACTTTTGGTTAGGTAAAAGGCGCGCCACCTGCAATTGACAACAATTTGTACATATTTACACACGCCACGCACTGTGGAAAAACACAAAATGCATTCGCTTCCCATTCAGAACTTCAAAGATCACACAATAGTAGCTCGAACTTGTCCATGCCACGGTCTGTTGACCGCGAACTGGGCTACATTGAAAAACATTCAATTGATGCACTTTTCCATTTGCATATATAATATTAAATCAGGAGGTTCTTACCGGCCAATATAACGGAGTTTTTTTTGGTAAGACTATGAAATGAACCTTGGTTCGATAGCAAATCAAGAATGTACACGCAGAAGATTAATATGAAATATGTATTACAAATATATATTTTCTTTTAATTTAAATTATGAAGTCTTACAATTAAAAGTTTTATAAATTAGTTTCAATAACAAATTAATATATAGTAAATAAATCATTTGTAATGCTGGACAATTTGTAACTAAACACGCATCAATAGTATTAAAAAATAATCATGTTTTGTAACTGTGACAGCGATGACCCAAAGTGAACAGATTCGGGTAGATTTTTAATTTGCAGCAGCCACCTTTGGCAGTCTAAACACTTTCGCTGACGATCCTCGCGTGTTACATCCACGCCCAATCCGTTGGCAGCCCAAGAATCAAGATTTTCCTGGATTGTTGGCAAGAAGTGTGATAATATGATACGCAACGTATCGCAGGCTCTGGTAAAATGACTAAAATGATTAAATAATTAAAATGTAATTTTTTATTAATTATCAAGCGAATTGAGCTCGGAATATTTACATACAATTTGTGTTGACTTTGCAAGAGTTCATAGAGTTCCGGTAATACAAATGTGCAAAAGTCCAGATTCAACGACGATCTAAATTAATGAAAATTATGCATTGTAAACGTAATATTGTAAAATGATAGACATGACTTACGGCTTTTCAAGAATCGCCCCGAGAAGATCTATAAAAATCGATCGTCCCGCCGATTTAGCCAGCCTCAGTGCACTGAGAACATCGTTGACGCTGAAAATCCAATTAAAAATTGGTCATTTAAGAACAGATTAAATATATTGTTGAGAATTCTTACCGTGTAGAGTTACGAAGCAAATCAAGACTGGCTTGCCGATTGCTTAACTCCTGAAGTACTGCTTCATGTGATCTTGAGAGTATATCAAAATCATAGTGATCCTCTATGAAATTACGATTCATATTCTTGCCTGAGGTAGGTATCAAATCCGGACGGTAATTCATCGGCTGCTGTAATGATTCGAACATTAAGAAATATATACTTAATATTTAATTAATTGACAATCATTTGTACACACCTGTGAATGTTTCTCCTGAACCTTTGCTTGATGCGTTGTACGCATGTCTAGAGTCGTACGTGACCTCATTGGGGGCTTGGTAATGATCTCTACGCTGATATTTTTCTGCTGCGCGTTCTCTTTGTAAAACTGATTCTGTGTTCCCATGGTTCTCTTGTTTTTGTTAACAACAGTTGAGGATGTTGACTTTTTGAGTAGCATATTATCGTCCAGCTTATGCAATTCCATTGAACTAACTGAGGAGGCTTGGCCAAGTTTATTGTTACCAAATATTGCCGTTGATGTCTGTTTGGTATTGCTTATTGCTGTATTTCTTTTGTGCAGAGTTGTTGACGTCTTTTTAATTGATTTCGATGAGGCATTTATTGTTGATGCAGGTACTGTCTTATAGGTGCTGGCTGTGTAATTCAAATTTTGATTGACCGGAAAATCTTCGGCCATTTCATAATTATCATAGTTATTAAGAATCGGGGGATTGCTGTCATTTGGATTATATTCGACATCGTGCACATTTAGGCTATCGCCTTTCTCAATTGCGTATATGTTATATTCGTCTGCTACGTGCAATGAACTTGGTCCATTAATGCTTAATAAACGGCTGGAACCCATATCCATGCCATAACTATAATTAGTTTCTATGTTAAATGGTATATTATCTGGCACTCGCGCAAACTTGCTATGCTTCAACGAGGCATCAGAGCCCGCATTGTATATGGGCTCGATCGATGAGCCAATTGGCTGTGGTAGATGGTGCAATGACGACATTGGCGATGATTCAATCTGTTCCAATGCCGCCTCATTAACAACTTCCAGACTTAGGTTTGGTGACGACAGCTCATCATAAGTTTGACTTTTATTGTCTTCATGCTCTTCCTCAACTTTGGCCGGCTTGGATCCACCCAGTGATATTCTAAACTTTTGATTTCCACGTGTAAAGCTTTTTCGATTTGTTGAATTATGCTTAAAATTGGGCTGAGCATTTGCCGGCTGATAGAAAGGTATCACACAATCAAGGCTTACTGTGTTAATTGACACGGTATCAATTTCATGGCAGCCACAAATCTGCAAAGTTAGTAGATATTAATAAATTGATGTGTAAAATATTTGACAGGCGCAAACTTACAATCTTATTTTTAATAACTTTCATGTCATCCAATGAGGCCCAAGTACTTTTTATGTGATCTAATTCACGATCAGGTTCCCAGCCAATCACAGATATTCCCGAAGCGCTGCCTACAAAAAGGCACTCTCCATTCTCACTGTGAATGTAAATAAAATAAGGGATTAATTCAATTATATACAAGTTTATTGCTCGTTACCTTACCTAAATGTAATGCATCTGATAGCTTGTCCATAGAAATGAGTTGTCTGGGAAACAAGCTGCTGATGCTCCAGGTCGTAGATGGACACAGTGCCATCAACTCGGCCCGCTGCCAGTAAAAACTCAAAGGGATGAAATTGAATGCAAGTGATGGCTGTTACGGGTGGCTCTGCCATAAACTCCATTATTTGTTTGCTTTTGCGTATATCCCAAATTAATATTGATCCTTCCAGTCCAGCAGAAGCAATCCAAAGTCCATCAGGTGAAAATTTAACGGAATTTACATGAGATATGTGTCCCTTGCAAACTTTAATGCACTTATTTTCATTTTGAACATCCCAAAGTCTAAAATGAATATTAAAACACATTTATTAATATTTGTACAATTGATAAAGTATTATGCGCAAGAAAAAAAATACATTTAAAAAATAACGTTTTGTTGTTTAAACTGGCGCTCTAACAATATCGATATATGCTTAGTGACAACACTGCCGCGTCGTTTTCGATAGGTCCGATAAGAATAAAAAAAAAATACCAACATTGCAAATAAGGGCTGCCATTCTGTCGCTTCAAACAATCTGGCAACATTATAATTGTTGTCAACCTCAGTCCATAATCCAGTTTATGTTTTCATTTCTTTTCAATTTGCTTATCATCCGTACAAACTGCCCTTTGTACCGGCGATATAAAGATAATCTTTAACTTAAAGAGGGAATACATCTGGTAAAGGTAAATTATTTGCAAATTAGGAACAACTGGTGTAAGTTGTGCGTGCAGTTTTGTCAATTTAAATAGATGTGAACATACGCACTTAATATAAAGCCGTAATTATCGGCATTCAGAAAAGTTATTTAATTGTGTGTGCCCCCATTGGACTTGGATCAAACATTCAACACATTCAGTTGATAACTAAAGTAGTACATATAAGAAAGGAAATGTTATAATGCATATAGGCATACCTTTGAATATATGTATGCGTGTGTGTGTGTGTGTGTATATATATATGTGCTGCTGATACCATATCAAGAGAACAAATTGCTATTTTTTTCTGTATTTGAGGTTGAAAGTTCGACGACAATTGAGAATTAAGCAACAGTTTTTTATTCATAGGCGGCTCACAGCACGATTGGCAGTTGGTTGAACCGGATTGTACATAACAAGTTTATACAAGAAGTCTATATAGAAAATGTCTTCGGCAGCGAAATTGCGTTTTGATGGACGAGTGGCCGTTGTGACCGGCGCCGGAGCTGGACTCGGACGGGAGTATGCACTGTTGCTGGCATCGCGCGGTGCCAAGGTGGTGGTCAATGATCTGGGTGGCAGCCATGTGGGCGAAGGCGCCTCTCAGCGTGCCGCCGACGTGGTTGTCGAGGAAATCCGCAAGAACGGCGGCGAGGCTGTGGCCGACTACAATTCGGTAATTGATGGTGCAAAGGTCATCGATACGGCCATCAAGGCATTCGGACGTGTGGACATACTTATTAACAATGCAGGCATATTGCGTGACCGCAGCATTGTGAAGACATCGGATCAGGACTGGGATCTGG